TAAATAGTGATATTTTTAATGGAAAAATATTTATTTTAAAATTGTCTCAGTTAGAGAACTTTTAAAACAATATGGGTGATACTGCCAAAGTGGTTAATCTATTGAGATTTATAAGTTTTTTAATAAAGATTCTAGGAAGCTCTTCTAATATTATATCACTCAATTACCAACCCAAAGGGGGTTAATTGAGTGTATTAATTTTAGAGGTAGTGTGAGCCGCTATAGTAAGGGAAATTTTATTATTTTTGAAAGAATTTATCTACCCAAAGGAGATAATTTCTTGATAAATCATTCTTGCTAGTTGATTTGTTTATAGGTATTAGAATGTGCCTTATATATTTAGCCCAAAGGTATTTATATGATGATACATTCTGAAACATCTAACAATATTGTTGAAGTTTATTTGCAGCCTATTGTTGTGAGAATATAATTATTGCCCATGTATAATTAATTAAGATTATATTGAAGTTTAAAGATGTTGATTGTATTCTATATATTCAACCCAAATGTGTTTATATAGTGATACATTCTAGCACATCTAAGAATATTGCTAAAGTTTATTCGCAGCATATTCTTGTGAAATTATACTAATTGCCTATGTATAATTGAAAGTTTGAGTTGTGAACATGCTTTCTATATATTCAGTTTAAGAGTGATATATTTTAAATATTTAAGAATATTAATTGTGATTATGATATTATTATTGTCCATATATAATTGAATGATTTTATATTGATTTGAAAGCAATGAAAGGAGATATTTTTATGAAAATCAAATTTACTCCATTAAAGTTTTGATTATGAATCAGTTAAAAGATATTGAGTTAGCTTTAAGACTAGCTGATTTGGATATTGACATACTCAAGAATGTGTCTTCTTAACCATTTATATTAAGACCTCAATATAGTGTGAAATATTGAAATTATATTCAATGTTAACTATTTAAGAAAGTAGAGTTTTAAAATATTCACTTGGTGATTTTTATAAGAAAATCTAAATTACACTCTGCAATGCTCTATATAATACCTTCAACTTTTACAAATCGTTATGTCTCTTCAGTGTTTTATGTTTTTCTTTTTAGAATATTCTGCAAATCTCTTTATATATTATTAACTCAAGTAAGAAAAATTCTTTAGAATTTTTTGTGAGTTATGATGCTCTTCCCACCTTCGGAATCTCCTTATTTGTTTTTTAAACTGCTTAAAAAATGCTTGTGTTAATCAAAATTTTATTTTCTGGTCAAGTTATTTAAGTTATAGTTTAGTACTGATCTTATTTTAAAGAATGTTATTTTTATATCATCCATGAGATAAAATTCAATTTTAATGTCAACAAAATAAGCATTGTCATTATTTTTAATTTTGGTAATAAATAAAATAATAATAATAATTGAAATAGATTTTATTTTGACTTGGATGATAATTATCATAAAGTGTGTAGGAGAAATTATTCTATTAATTTTATAAATGAGTATTGATGTTATGCATTTGTCTATCTCATTTATGTTGAAAAACATATTGGTGAAGATTTTAAAATTATTAATTGAAGATGGATATTATAGTGAACATGATAATTTTGGTTAATGTAGTAACCTCTTATTAATTTTTACAAAATTGTGAAATCAATTTAAATATATCATGGTTGTAACTTCGGAAGAAAGTTGAGTACTTGAGCGTCGTAATTGGACTACAATAAAATGATGAGGTGTATGTTAACATGTTTAAATTATACAAGTTTTTGTGATAAAATATTGCTATGTATACTTGTGTATACTTTACATATGGTACTAAGTTAAATATTTTTAAAACACTTTTGAATTGCAAACTAATATAAAATTTAGTTAGAATAACTTTTGAGTTTGGGATTGTACAAAAGTAAAAATTTTTTGATATATTTTTGAAATCAAAATGGGACCTATAGCTATTTGTTGTTACTTTGTAAGTTGCCAATGGTTTTATTATCTTGGTTCTGACATAAGAATCTTTTAAGCTTTTAAAATGTGAAATTATTAGATTGGTGAACAGTTTAAATATATAAATCTTCTTATATACTTGTGTCTATTATAATAAATTGGTCTGTTCATTCTCACATACAGAAAGTGAGAGTGCAAGTAGAATCTGAAGTGTCTATTCAATCAATTGATAAAAGTTGAACATGTATAACACGTGCAACCTTCTAGACATTCTCATACAATTAAAAGATCCTTGCGATTATATTATTTTTCTAAGTGAGCAATATCAAGAGATTGAAGAGATGATTGTTACGTATGATGAAGATATTGGCGATTTGTAATATGGTAAATGAATTGGTACAAATTATTAATTAGATATGAGATCATGTTATACTTTTTTAAAAGGTTTGAAATCTAATGAGTATTTTTTTGAAGATAAATAAATAAATACAAAGCTATTGTAAGAGGTTGCGATTTGAAAAGAGTATTGTTCTTACCAATGTTATAAATATAGGTTTATAATGATTATAGTGGTATTGTGACATTTTTATCTTTTACCTCGCCAAACAAAATAAATTTGATTTGTAAGTTAAACAAATTTATCTATGGTTTTAAACAAATTTCTGAGCAATGATATTTAAAGGTTCACCAATTATTATTACTTGGCTTTATGGATAATACTGTTAATTTATGCGTATATCTCAAGGTCAGTGGGAGCAATTTATTTTTCTTGATCCTTTATAGCGATGAAATTTTACTTACTAGTAATAATTTCGAACTAATACTTGATGTGAAGATATTGTTCTTAATAAATTTTTGATATAAAATATCTTGACAAAGTATTTTATGTGTTCGACATTAAGATACTTGAAAAATAACTTAGAGGATTATTTGTCTCATCTCAAAGAGCATACCTAGAGCACATTTTTATTGAATTTAATATGCAGAATTGAAAGTTTTACTTTGCTCTTCTTAATGATCGAGATTAATTAAGTAACATTCAAAATGATTTTGAGAAAAAATTAATGAGGAATGTCTTGTATGCTAATATTGTGAGAGTTTAATGAATTATGAAGTTTGGATTAAACTTGGTGCATATGTAATTAGTTTGTTAGACAATTAGCCTTGACCATTGGGTTGGAACATGTAAAGTGTTATGATATTTATAGAGAATTAAAGATTATACAATTGGCTACAGAAGAATTAATCATGTTAATATTATTGGTTGTATAATGTCGACTTTGGAAGTTGTTCAGATGATATATAGTGTCTATTACTAGTTACATTTTTATGTTTGCATGAGGTGTTATTTCATGAAAGAATTTCATAAAATCTCTTATAATTTTTTCACTATGCAAACATATTTCAGAGTTCGAATTGAGTTATGTAATTAAAGAATTTTATTTCAGAGTTTGGAATTGTTAATTTCATCTCCAAACCTATAAAGATGTATTATGATATATGGTTTTAATTTTCTCTATGAAAAATAACAAAAACTCTGATGGCGTTAAATACATAAATTTAAAGTACTTCAGAATTAGAGAGTTGTTAAAGATGATATTCTTTATGAGCACATGTTATAGAATACATACTAGTTGATCCTCTAAATATAGGGCTTAGACCAAATTTTAGTTTGCTAAATATAGTGAGCATATGGGTACTTTACAGTTTTTTATGTGCTTGGTTAAAGAAATTTTTCACCCATAAATATTATCTATGGTATATTTCAGTTAATAAAGTTTAATGTGTTTATTCACATTTTGTTTATAGTTATGTGTGTGTTGTGTACACATAAATGGTTATTGTCATATATGTATACCTCTTATATGAGCTCTTACAGTTATGTTTTAATTTTGAGATATAAAGATTAACACTTCGGTTTATGGATCCATAAAGTATGATGCTTGGTTTAAAGCATGAAAGACTTCGGTTTAGAGGAATAAAGGCTTCTTTTGGAAGTGTAAAATGGAATAAAATTCCTTGCAGGGTTTTGTCAAGAGCACACAGAGGATTGAATGTGGAATTAACATGTTATATAATTTTTGGATCAATTATGTTGAAATTTCACACTACACTTTATCACATATAGGAATCCATGTTGGTGAGATATTAGTGTTTGTAATTGTGGAAGGTTTTATATTGTTCAATAGCATAATTACCGCTACAGTTTGATATTAATATTTCTCATTGAACAGGATTCTGTGCTGAGATGTTTCTATTCTGAATCATGTTTATGTGGCCACTAAAGTTGTTTAACCCGAGAGTCATTTTTTCTTAAATAAAATATTTTCTTAAAGTAGTAGTCAATGTTGCCTAAGTGGGAGAATGTAAGAATTTATTCTTAATTAGGCTGTCATTGACTATATTTTGTTTGGTTTCTGAAAAACGGGTTGAATGTGATTCAGATAAATCGACTGGTATAAGTCCAAAATTATTATTGCGATCCATAAAGTTTGGGCCATGGTCATCTTAGTGTATATATTATTTTATATGTAGATATGTGATATGGAGGTGTATGGCCTATTTTAAGTTATTTGGGTTCCTTAATGGAAGGGCCTAGTAATTGTTTTATTTAGGCCTAGTCCCCTCTCCTATCCTTATTAGGGTTTACATATATCTATATATATGTAGATCAAAGGATTGTCAGCCCCATTGAAAGACAACGTGAAGATTAGGAGAAGGAAGGGAAGAGCTGGTACTAAAATTTTCCAATTGTGAATACTATCATCTTTCAAAGAAGCAAAACTCAAGACAACAACGAAATCAAACAGTATGTATCTAAGTTTATATTTTAATAGTTAATTATATTCATAGTGTTTTGATTTCTAATATATAGATTCTATAATCTTACAATACACTTATAATTATAAAAATATTCGACTTCACCAATGTTAATATCCAATGAATTGAAATCAAAACCGTTCTCACAAGCGAAAAGTAGGAATATTATTAATGAAAAGCCATATTCTTACTTAAAACAATAGTATGGTATATTGAATCCATGCTAGACATAGAATATAATAAAAGAAGACAGAAATTTTTAAAACAAATAAATTTAAGTTGAGCTCAAATTTTAATACCAAAAAGGTTTAAAACAAATATTCTTAGACAAAGCTGCTGTTAAATAAAAATTTGTGAAAAATGCAAAAATGCAAATTGGGAGTCCTAAACAATAGAATTTACTCGACATCCAGCTTCTGCAACAACAAAGCAGTGAATTTTGCCTTTTAAACCATTTCCAATCAAATTAATAAATTTGAAACAATTCTGAGCTCGTATTCCAAAATTATATTTTTCCATTGGACATCAATTCGACCTCTTCTTAGACTTTTATTGATATAACTGTTCCAAGAACTCTTTTGCTGCGTGTTCTACATCATATTCTCTGGATCGCAATTTGCCTTTTCCCTGATATCTTCAATTAGCATTGTCATGTTGAGGTAAGAAGAACCTCCTTCCTCTATTGCCCTCCTTGCCATTTCCCCAAGTTGCTTAGCTCTCTCTCTCCTCTCCTCTCCTTCATGTCCTCCATCCATCAACTTGTCTATAGTCTTCTTAACAGTATCTTTGTGTACCAACACCCCTACCTTCTCCTCCTCCCCCCACTTCATAGGAAGCTCCACACCAACACTCACCCCAATCCTCAAAACATGCACAACCAACTTCTCATTGCAAAATTGCTCGGCAAACAATGGCCACGTCACCATTGGCACACCGGCACAAATCCCTTCCAGAGTCGAGTTCCACCCACTGTGAGTGAAAAATCCCCCAATTGCGGGGTGAGACAATATGAGTACCTGTGGAGCCCAACCGCGGACTAAAAGGCCTCTCTCTTTGGTCCTCTCTCCAAAGCCTTCTTCCAAAATCCAATTCTCAAATTCCTCAGATGCTTCCCTCAAAACCCATATGAATGGCCGGTTTGATGCTTCAAGCCCCAACCCGAGCTCTATCATCTGCGCAGATGTCAGGCGAGAGAGACTTCCTAGGCAAGCGTAGATGACAGAGCTCGGTTCCTGGGAGTCAAGCCACTCCAAGCAATGTTGCTCATCAATGGAAGCCTTGTTGCCTCTATCAACCTTGTCCAGGTTGTCTTTGTTGCAAAGTGAAACAGGCCCAATACACCAAACTTTACCACCTCTTACCCTGTTGTATTCTTTCACATACTCTATCTCTAACTCCTCAAAACTATTAATCACCATTCCATAAGCCACTTTCTCAGCCTCCCTGATTTGCTCAGCTACATTTTTTAAGGCAGAAGATGGGCTTGGATTGAAGCCAGGCAGCTGAGCTCTAGTCAGCTCAATTCTATCAGGCAAGCCAGGCACCACAAAGTACTCTGACTCTGATTTTATGTCATCAAGAACCTTGTACACCTTCAAATTGTGTGAGCACAAAAGAGAGAAGCAACAAGTTCCATGGAAAACAAGCCTTGGAATGTAAAACTTACCAGCCACATCACCTGTCCATGGAAAACCCATGTCAGAGACTATACAGCTCGGCTCGGGTTTCATCTCCTTCATGGCTTGTTCTAATGGTTGTTGTAGCATGCTAGTTGCTACAAAAAACTTTTGAACCCAATCCATTGAAGGGAGCACATCAAGATTCTCCCATCCTTCGGGTAATCCAGCCTCGGCGCAGGGGAACCTGAGCTCGAGGAATTGGATTTTAAGTCCTGAGGCTATGGCGCGAGTAACGGTTGGTTTGAACCGCTTGGCGTTGAGTGGTGTGGTGACTATGGTAACGATGAGGCCGCGGTGTGCAAGTAATTTGGCTATGTCGACCATGGGGATCATGTGGCCTTGGGCCATTAAAGGGAACAAGATGAAGTGAAGGTGCTGAGCTTGGGAAGCCATAGCAATTAGCTTGGGAAGTATTATTGAGAGAGAGTGATAATGGATGGTCTCTACTTCGTTGCTTTGTATGGATAGTCTTTACTTTGTTGCTTTGTATGAATGAGTGGCTTTTTCTTTCTTGTTTTCTAATTCTCTATCTCGTTTTCTAACTTGGCAGCTGTACTTTTCCAGTTCTCTTCTCTTCTCTTTTTTTCTTCTTCTTCTTCTTCTTCTTCTTCTTCTTCTTCTTTTTTTTTTGGGTGAAGATTTTAATTTATTATTATTATTATTATTATTATTATTATTATTATTATTATTATTATTATTATTATTTTAACCTTTAAATGCTTTTAGACTAGAAATCCTCAATTTTATTTTATTTTTCGTAAAAAAAATCAAAATTAAAAAAGTTCACCAAAAGGAAAAAGGGAAATAACTATTCAGTGTATATTCTAAAAATAAATTATAAATAAGTGATAGAGTTTATAAATATTAATAATCAAAATTTTAAAATTTTTCATAAATTTGTAATAGTTTTGTGAAACCAAAACTGTCTGATAATTTTCCCAAAACAAAATGGATGATAATGCATTTGGCAAAATTTATTCTCAAATTATTTAGCTTGGAATTTATGGGTGGTTTTGAATGATCTAAGGGGTTGTTTGGAGTGTCTTAAATAAGTGTATTTTTTGTCTTTTTGAACTAAAAAATTGAGAAAAAAATATGGATGTTTGGGTTAACTTTTTGACTTTTTATGGAAAAATGTGTATTAAAAAATTGTATAAATTAATGTGTAGGGAAAAATTAAGATTGGGAGTTGTGCAGCCGTAATTTTTGACTTTTGGTAAATAGTGATAACTTTTTAATTTTTTGAGTAACTTTTTGACTTTTTTTCAACTTGCTAAACTTGGCCTAAATAAGTGCACTTTTTGACTTTTTATGAAATGTGGATTGAGTATGGGTTGAATTTGATATAATGTGGTAGAGAAGTGATTTAATTAAATAAAATGATTTAACTGAAATAAGATAATAACTTTTTAATTTTTTAACTTTTTTAAGTTATAACAAAGAAGGCCTTAAAACTTCATGCTTAAGGGGTGTTTTGGAAATGTGGTAAAAAATTGACCTTTTGGTTTTTTTAGCTTATTTTGTCTTTTTGTAGGTAAGTTATGTGAGAGGTAATGTGACTCAAAATAGGTAAAAAACTAGAAGTTGACTTTTTACTAATTTCCCAAAAGACTCTTAAGTATTTGCACAAAATGAATGGCGTTTAGTCAAACTTTTAGGTTGCATTTGGTAGAGTTTTATAAATATGATTTGAGAGTATTAGTTGTATTTTGAGTTTGTGAGTTGTGGAATTATGATTTGAGTGTAGAAAATTTGTTTGGTTATGATTTTTGAATAGAGTGTTGAATTGAGTGTGGAATTGAGTTTTGAAAATTTGATTTGACATATATTGTAAGAAATTATGTTTGGTGATGAGTTTTGGAAAGAGATTTTAAAACTTAATTCAAATTGTTATAACTCATAACAAAACATACTACTTTCACACTATTGAAAATTCTGATCAATACTCATAACCAAACTCTTTTTAAAATTCAATTAAAAAAAATTATTATTAACATAAAATAACATTATTCAATTTTTTAATTGAAAATACTACAAAGGAAATAATTTTTTTTGAAAATAAATATTCAAAAAATTTAAATCATGAATATTTAAATAATTTTAAATAATCTAAAAAAATTAATAAGTAAAAAATTAAAATAACTATTCAAAAAATTTAAATATTCAAAAAATTTAAATAATTTAAAATGTTAATATTTTAAATTTAAAAACAACTCTACACTCAAATCGTAACAAAACACATAAAACAAAACTCAATTAAGAAATTATTTTTAAAATTTATAACCAAACACATAACTCGAAACTCCATATTACTTTCACAACTCTACACTTAAATCGTAACAAAACACATAAAACAAAACTCAATTAAGAAATTATTTTTAAAATTTATAACCAAACACATAACTCGAAACTCCATATTACTTTCACAACTCTACACTTAAATCGTAACAAAACACATAAAACAAAACTCAATTAAGAAATTATTTTTAAAATTTATAACCAAACACATAACTCGAAACTCCATATTACTTTCACAACTCTACACTTAAATCGTAACAAAACACATAAAACAAAACTCAATTAAGAAATTATTTTTAAAATTTATAACCAAACACATAACTCGAAACTCCATATTACTTTAAAATATTGATTTGAATTGAGTTTTGAAAAGAGTTTTGAATTATGTGTTTGGTTATGAGTTTTGAAAAGTAATGATTATGTTTTGAATTTAGTTTTGAGAAATAAGTGTAGAATTATGATTTGAAAACTCAAAACAAACAACACACTCAAATCAATGGATGAAACAAATTTGAGAGGATTAGCGAATGGAACCTTAGGTTCCATAACTTTTTTTCCACTTAAAAAAATGTATGTTTAAAAGCTACGTGCTATTTATCACTGTATTTACTTCACCCTCTTTATTTCTGTACGGGGAGCAAATATTCAGGCAAGCCCATATTCCTTTCTTCCAAGCTCCGTTTCTGTCCGATCACCTGCGAGTACAACAGCGGTGAGCTACCCGGCGGTGTGTGGCCGGAAAACCCCTCCAACGATCAAGTTAGCACACACCTTAGGACCGAGAGAGAGAAAGGAGTGTTTGAGTGTAAGAATTCCTTACAAAGTGTTCGTCTGTCCGCATATGGGCGGCGCAGACATGCTTATATACCCTCTGCGCCCCATATCCACTCCCAGTCATCTCCTAACACGTGGCTCCGCTATCCCATCTGTCAGCATAAACCTTGCTGAACACCACCTAACCCAACTGTCAGCCCACTCTACTGGGAGCTCGGCAGCGGGGCTGCAGCTTCTCGGCTGCCAACAACCATACTGCACTTCAAGACCAAGTGCTTCCAATAACCGAGCTTCGTTTCAGCCGTGCTCGACCGCATTCCGGAGACACCGAGCACGGGATTGGTCATTCCGGTCAACCAAAGGCCTTCCTGCCGAGCTTCAGGCACGAATCTTCACGCTGAGCTATGGGTGCGCGCCTTCCGACTGAGCAACGCACGAACCATGAAGCCCTTCTAGGCCGCGGACGTCTCAGCCAAGCTCTCACTTGACCGGCCTTCATACCAAAGAGCCAAAGTAGCTCGGCTCCGCAGGCCCTTTGCCATTACTGAGCAAAACCACGGCACAATCTTGAAGCCAAATACCTCGGCCCAATCTTGTTTGGCCGAAACTAGATCATAAATCTCCCTCTCAATTTCACTTTTTATTGTATTCACTTTTTATTGTATTCATGAAATAAGACAGGCCCTTTGCCATTACTGAGCAAAACCACTTTTGAGCCACAAAATTTGAGCTACGAGACATTTTCCTTCGAATAAATATTGTGATCGCGTACTTTTAGTGGTTTAATGATTAATCAAAGAATTTGCTGCTTGAAGTACTGAACAACATATCGTGCTAATGATATTCATTGAATGGTGGTCTCTATCATCAATGTCGAAGTAAGCTACACACTTAGTGCACGCAACTATTATTTGCACATTTGAGATAGGAAAATACTTGAACGGATCAACAGATAAAAAAAAATTAATAAATAAATTTAGAGATAAAATTAAAAAAAATAATCTTCAAAATAAATAAATAAATTTCTTAGCAAATTATTTTACAATAGATGGACCTCTTAATAATAAAAAATATTTACTAGACTTAATATCTTATATCTTAGCTGAACAACATATCGTGCTAATGATATTCATTGCATGGTGGTCTCTATCATCAATGTCGAAGTAAGCTACACACTTAGTGCACGCAACTATAATTTGCACATTTGAGATAGGAAAATACTTGAACGGATCAACAGATAAAAAAAAATTAATAAATAAATTTAGAGATAAAATTAAAAAAAATAATCTTCAAAATAAATAAATAAATTTCTTAGCAAATTATTTTACAATAGATGGACCTCTTAATAATAAAAAATATTTACTAGACTTAATATCTTATATCTTACTTAGCTTGGACTTTTCAATAAGGGTTAGACTTGTCTCCAATCTACGTTATAGACTGGATGGTGCTATTATGTCCGTGGGGTCTACCACGAGTCCTTTTTTGATAATCTGAATCGTTTAATATGTAGAACTTGTCCAGTGCTTTATCATTGTAAAAAATCATATTAATCGAATATCGATAACTACTTGATCCAATTAGATTTTTATCAAAAATTTATTTTGAAAACTATATTTAGCGTTGATAGAAATCTAATCTGGTCAAGTAACTATCGATATCCGATCAAAGTAATTTTTTCATAGAGACAAAGTAATCGATCAGTTCTACACATTAAGCGGTTCGAATTATCGAAACATGATCTGTGATGAACCCTCACAATCTCATCAATATGTTCTAATCCAATCTCGAACTGAAAAGTCCCTTTCAACAATTACCTGCTATGTTTGGCAGGTTGTTTTGGAGCTATTAGTCATTTTAAAAAAAAACAAGTTAAAAAGTTAATAAGATAATAAGATAAAATGTCATATCTAAATTATAATTATTTTATTTTTTTCTTATAAAAATTTAAAAAAATTAAAAAAATTATCAAAATTTTTTAACTCTAAATTAAAATAATTAAAAAATTAAAAAATCAACGCTCATCCCAAACGAATGTTATGTTTTATTGATTATTTCATAAAAAGACAAAAATAAATAAAGTGAAATAGATTTTGATCAGGCGAAGTTGGCAAGCAATTTATCCTCTAATTTCAAGCTTGGAAGAAAAGTGGCGTTGAAAATTCTCTCTCCACTCACCCACTTGATGATGATAGGATTTTGGATGAGTCCAAAAAAGGTTGGGGCTGGCTTCCAGTCCACCGTTTAGATTGGAGAATTTAATCCGGCTTAATAAGTGACCACAGTAGGTATCGAATTGTCTCAAATCTGGATTGAAGGCAGTTTCGTCACTTCAAAAAATTAATCAGAATTTACCATTAAAGATCAAAATATATTTAGGTCAAGTTTGATAAATTAAAAAAAAAGTCAAAAAAGACAAAAATAAGCAATCTTTTTTAACTTATTTTGATTTTTTCAAATTTTTTTGAAATTTTTCAAAAACAAAATATACTTTTAGATTTGTGTCGATAAAACATGTCAAGAAAATA